TGGCGCCGGGCACCATCCAGTGCCCACCCGTACTGTCCAGCAGCCATCCCACAGAGCCCCGAATGAGCGGGGAGAAGCACCGGGATGCTGGGCAGTGGGGATGAGCCTGGCCCCCCCGGCATGGATGCAGCCCCTCCCGCCCTGGCACACTTGGGGACCCCCTGTATGGGCAAGGATGGCTGCGCCAGGGATGCAGAAGCCACTGGGGACAGGGCAGGACAGACAGACAGGGTCACCCGGGGACACAGCCACCCCAACCAGCCCCATTCCCAGTGTGAGCCGCCGGGTCCCATCCTGCTCCTGGACTGCCATGTGGGTGCTCACCCTGTGACACCAGATGGTTGTCACTCACCTCGGCTTTGAAGTTCTCCAGCTCCTCCTTCAGGGCTGCAATCTCCCCGTAAAGCTGCTCTATTAATCGGTCCCTGGGAAGGAGAGACACCGGGTACATCCTCAGTGCCACCAGCTGTGCCAGTGCCATGGGGAAACATCTGGGAGGGAAGGCATTCCCTGTGCCACTGTGGCTGAAAGTGTCACAGCAGCCTGGCAGGTGTCAGAGGACGGAGCTCCCAGTCCGATCCCAGCTGCCTCCGCAGTATCACCAGGATTGCTCACTTGTCATCCTTCTTCATCCCGTTCTGGCTGTTGAAGTTGAAGGGGTCGCTGCTAAAGGAGCTGCCGAAGATGTCGTCAAACTTATTGTCAAACAGGCTCTGCGGGGACAGCAGCATGGACCCGGGGTGAACCCACCACCCTGGAGCCCTCCCTTGTCCCCTCCATGTCCCCGGCAGCACCAGGGTTGCCACCTGCTCACGCTGCCTGGACATTGGGGCTGGATCCCCCCTGCTGCTCCCAGGACATTGAAAGTGTTGAACATGGAACGTCGTGGTCTGCCCCCACCTAACTCCCAGGGGAGAAGATATCCAAAGCCATGTCACTGCACACCCCTTCCCCTCCCGAAACGCTCAGCACCTGGGGACAGCCCTTGGTGGAGTGGGACGTGAAAACCTAAAGCAAGCATGCACGGCTGAGGGGTGATGCTGGGAAGCCAAACATCTCCAGCTGGCCATCACTGGAGGGCACCAAACCATTAAGAGAAGCACTGAGATGAATGCAGCCTAGCTCAGACCCAGCAGCACCATGTGCGACACCCAGCACCCACACCACCCCTCCTAGTGATGCTCCCCAGGGCCCAAGGCCGTCCCTGCTGTCTCACACCCCACCACAGCACAGTTTTGGAGACATGACCTCAGTCTCAGAGATCACTGTCTTCTACACAGCCCAAGGTGTACGGGCAGCGCCGTGGCAGCTCACCTGCGAGGCCGTGTCCGTCTCCACTAGGTCCGTGATGGGTTCGCTGTCGGGTGAGGACGCCTCGGCGGGGATCACCACCACGGGGCTGATGTGCTCTGACAGCGCCGAGGCACGCAAGAAATTGGGGGGGTTCTGGGGAGGGAGGGGAGAATGGCTGGGTGGGGGAGGACCGGCACTGCCGCAGGGCTTTGGCCATGGTTGGTCGAAATCCTACCCCAGCCCATGGGAACGGAGAGAGGACCAGTAGAGATGGAGCCAGGATCCGTGGGGGCGGATCCTGGCAAGGGCTGAAGGTCGGTGTGAGAGGGGATCCCAGCAAAATCCCGCAGGATCCCACCCAGGGAGGGATGCAGGGATGAGCCTCAGGCTCCAGGAGCCCTACACTGCCCCGGCGCACTGGGCAAGGCAGCACATGACCTTTTCTGGACACACGTCTGCCAGTGCCACCCTCCCTGGTCACGGGGATGGTGAGCACAGGGACCGGGGACCGCAGGGTCTCACCTCCGGCAGCTGCGGGATCTGGATCAGCCGCTTGAAGTACTGGAGGTTGCTGGAGCGGTAGAAGAGGTCCTTCAGCCTGCAACGGGCAGGGGCTGGTTAAGAACGGCTCTTGCTCAACCCAGACACCCCAGCCCATCACGAGTAGCTCCAGTCCCTCGCCCGGCTCCAG